TTATAGGTTCGTGTAAAGGCACTTATAGGCACTCTATGCAGCTTTAGGCATATTCCACTCAACAATGCAATATACACAGAGGGGAAACCATGCCGCACATGCAGTGACACTTGCGCCTACAAAAGTTTTTGCAATATAACTACATCCGAGTTGAAGTGCTAATAAATACAATTGCCTTTAACCTCTTGGGTCTTCTCACATTAACGTATTTCACATCATACAGCCATGAATATAGCGCCTCCTTAGTAGATTGATGCAGCTTATTTCGATTGCTTGCTTCGAGACTTGTGCCAGACCATAAATGGAAGCATGAATAGGCAAGAGACAGCTACCCAAAAACCTTAGCTGTTGTTAAAAAACAGGCGGTGTAAAAGAAAAACCTTGTCACATACCTTCGGTAAAGTGAAACAATTTTTTTTTCACTACGACTGTTGACGGGAATGCTACTGCGTAAGCTCAGGACAGAAGGTCGGCTATGGTCTGTTATCTCACATGGCACTGGGCTTTGCTTTGGGTAGCACTTGCCGATTTTCAAATAGAAATAATATTTTGAATGACTAGAGGAGCTTAAGGCGTTGAGAATAACACTGCACTATGTGGGGTGGTTACTTTGCTATGAGAGACACTTATCATGACACTGCATCTATAGAGCTATTTGCTTTAGGATGAAAAATCTTCCCTATACAACCACATCCGTGTCAGCGTTTGGAAAAATTTCATAAATCATATTGTGTTTAGTCACAATATTTTTACAGCCAATCATCCCATGCCATTAACGTAATCCTTCCCAACGAACAGAGTGCAATACAGGGCACAGAAGAAGTTTTGTCAATTTCCATTTTCTTCAGCTGGGATTGGAACCAAGATTTCACTCTTCGTAGGAGCGCTTGCTGAGCCGTTGCACTATCGAGGTCCGTTCCAATACCACTCACTATTCGGTTCATTCTAGCATCATACCATCGGAACAGGCAGTCAAATAAAATTCACCTGTATCACCTGTCTTCCCGTTGATCGTCGAGTGACTCGAGCGGGTACCAGCAACTCTTCCATTTTTCCCTATCGCGTGCAAGAGAAGCCCAGTGGGTCCTCCTTGCTCTAGGAATTCGCTGAGCATCATATCTTTCTTCCATCTTTGACCTCCCTCTTTGAGGGATCCCGCCCGGTTAGTCGCGAGGGCACGTGGCGCGTCACCAGGTGGTGGATAGGGGAATAAAACGCGAACCAAAAGCGACCGTGTGCTTCCCAGAGACGCAGGTGGATTCAGGGGACGAGCTCCCTGTTTCTGCAGTGCTGACTTGACAAAACTCTATTTCTACGAGTCAAGTCGGCCAAAAGCCTGCAATCAAGCGGCTGGGAAGTACATGGGAGGCGGTTAGGAGTCGCCTACAACAAATAAGCTCCTCCCGCTCCTCCGAGAGAGACTGGCAAGCTACTCGTGAGTACCCAGCCCCCACGTTTAGAGCCTGGCAAGCTACACGTTGGGTATCAAAAATGCCAAAAACAGTAACAAATAAACAAATAAAATTAGTTCTGATTAATTATTGAAACGCAATACCTTCCAGCATGAGTGGGTTCAATGTCGATAGTGACTGCCCACGCCAAACCGTTGAAAATGGCTGTTGAAAGATAACGCGTCGTAGCGTAGAAAGAGTGGTGCCAAAGCCTGCGTCGGTAGTGCAACGGTTCAGCACGCACTCTTGGAGAGAGTGAGGTCTAAGTTCGAATCCCAGCGGAGGAAATGTTATTGCACACCGCTCTACATTATTTTGTTTATTGTAACATACCAACGCAATAGGCAACCAAATAAAATGAATTCTAATTTTTATTTTGTTGTACAATATGCTTGCACAAGTTTCCGTCGTACTCGGTCTAGATGCGTGTCAAAACCGAGCGGTTCCTTAGTCGCCATAACCATATCAACATTTTAGGGCGGGTCAGCAGAAACCAGTAACAAAAAACAAAGGCCATAGCCATTTTTAGGAATCTGTGACGGTCTGGTACGGCATTTGGGTCCGGAAAAGACGTCGTTTGTCTGCATGAGCAGAAATGTTATAATCAGCGCTGCCAGCTGTCACCAGTAAGTTTCTCGGGGTTTATATGAGTTTTAGAGCACTCATCACTTTGACGCCGATGCATTTACGCATTCCATTCTACCCGCTCAAGGACCCACCTGTCAATAGCAGTCTCTAGGTTTTTGAAGCAAGGACATTTGGCCAGTCAGACTCGCAAAATCTCAACCCAACAGATTATTCCGTGTAGTCTATACTAGAGAAAAAGTCTCGGCTACCCGTTACTTTAGCATGGACGTGCCTAAAGAAGCTTTGAAACGAGCTTGCAATGAGATTACTGTGGTTTATGATACGGAGATTACTGTTTATAATCCATACTAAGTAATGAGAAATAAATAAAACGGATTCCAGACCAGAATTAAACAAGTAATTCCATAAAGTCATCAGCATCAATAAAAAATATTATATCAAGGCTAAAATTAAGAAACTAAAAATACAGAACTTCTTCCGCATCCTGTATAGATAGACTGGAAGCCATATTATCAATCACTGAGCTCGTGAAAAGGATCTTTTACAAACAATTGAACGTGATGAGTAGTTTACACCAAGCCACGCTTCGCAGAGCACTCGCTTAGGATAAACTGTGGGCAAATGCAATTATTCCGAATGAAGAGCACCCTGCACAAAAACTATCAATCAAATTCTTGAGATAAATACACTTCGTCCATTTTGCCCATACCTCTGTTCTGGCGAACAACTCATCTCCAGCATTCATGCTAGTGTGAATTTTGCACTTTCATAACTTCACTCGGGTAAAATGTAGGCATCAATTTCACAAGCTCCGGTTCTAGAAAGCAGTCTATTATGTAGAAGGCCAGATAGCATTTAGTGAATAACACAATGGAATTTATAAGTTGTAATGGCAATTTTGTATTCTGAGCACGTTCTATTTGATTCCCCAGAAACAACATAGTGTCGCTCATTTGTTGGTTTAATGACTGCTGCTATATTATACTATGCATTCATGAACACGTATTGTAATGTCTTTTAGAGCGAATATAGGATAGGCAATTCTGCAATTTCTTGATGAGCACATCACATTCAATTTATTGTAAGGGATGTAGTGCATAATGCTAATAGTCGCTAGCGCCTCAGTGCTTTCGTTACCGCTACGTTCTCGAAAAGTCAAATGAACTCGCAATCTATTAGTACAAAGCTCTCATGACTTTGGCAAAATAAAAATGATCAATAAACTTTGATTCTTTTCTGTTAAGCGGCATGAAACAAAACCGCTCCCTTTCTTCAGACAGGAATTTCCTACACTTACTTTCTTGGAAACTCAGACGCTCCGCCTTTTCGAAACTCTGTAACTTTTATTCATCCTTCCTCTACAGATTTTGTATAAAAATGTTAGTAAGCATTCGAAAGCCTGAATTTCCAGTTACTAGGCGAAGTGGCCTTTATTTGAAGCGAACATTTTACGATGATGTAGTAGGAAGGAAGTATTTGCATTCCACACCCACATAGACATCATCATTGCAAGACAAACATTTTCTCAATTAATAAGTAACCATTGGATAGCGTAAGTTTCAACGACTTCAACGCTATGCTTATTTTTTGAAAAACAGCTTCACTGTAGCCTATCGGAGAAAAAAATCAAGTCTAATTAAGCGGCGCTTTTTGTAAACTCTCACATGTTACTTGTGCTTCCAGAAAAGTAACATTTAAACTACGCCGCCGGTGCAAAACATGATATTACTTTGATTGCCACAGCATTATGAAGGGCTTTTCCGAAAAAAAAATTGCATCTCAATGTTTAGAGTTTTAGGCTTTCAAATCTTACTAACACTCTTATGAAAACACTGTGTAACAGAAGAACAGCCCAATTTTTGATTTTTTGAACTTGGATTGGTTTTATTCTCTATTACGAAGTCAATATACGTTTGAATTCATTTCAATCAAACGAGTTTCGGGGGTCAATCACAAGAGTGATGTTTCATTGATACTGTGACGTAATGACCTACATCCACTTGGAAAAATTCTCAAACCAGTGGAAGACATTGTGCACAGTCATTCTTCTAAAGGAGAGTGGCAACTGTGATCTTTTTGACAGGAGCTCAATATGCTTTCTGAGTGTGTTTTTGAGCTTATCGAAGATCATGGATGAGACTCAGCCAGTTGAACAGCAGGATTTCGTAGGGGATTTTGCGACGTGAACCACATACAAACCGTGTAACACGGGTCACTGAAGTCTGCCGAAAATGGAGTATACGCCCTCTTCTGATAAAAATCGACACTTTTTAAAGAAACAGATGTTCGGTATCCTTGAATGAAAAGATATCTCACCTCCTACTGACTATAGTTATCACCTATTTTGATGACAAAAATCGCAAACATAAAATCTGCATATAGTACAGTATGAATGGATATACAAAAAGTAAGATTTATTGAACAACTCACAAAGTCTTCTCTATTATTCTACATAGGTGTTCATTTTTGCGAAATTTTCCGTCGATTTCTAATTCTCAACCATTCTGTTAACTTCTGGGGGCTGCATGGAATGAAAGAATACCAAAACTAAAGTATTTACATCAAAATGTCTTTGTATTTGACTGAATACTGACTGAATCACCATTTGACTGAATACCAGCAACAATATGAATGATAGCAAAAGAGAGCTTTCCTGCATGAATAAGAAGTATACAAGCACCCAAAACATGAGAGGGTGTACAGATACATATAACATCAAAAGAAAGAGAAAAAAGCCGAAAATCTCTTTATGTTTAAGAAAAAACCTAAGTTTAAAGTAGAACATTCGTAGTTTTCATATCTATCGTTCAATTCTGTGTAAAGCATAGTGAAAACACATGGATTTTCGAGCCTTGTTTTTATTGATCGCTGACATATTCGTCTAGTTTTGTCGAATGTGTGCATACAGCTGCGCTAGAATTTTAATACCTTTTGTTTCAAGAGCTTCTTTGGACCAGGCACAAATTTCGATATACCTGGCAGTTATTTCTGAGCTATGCATGTGGTCTATTGTGGAAACATGTACATTACGATAAACGTGCTTCGACTTTGCAGCGTCGTCACTTAAACAGTGCCCGTCGTCTTAGACAATTCCTTCCGGAGAAAAGCCCTCTGACATGAAGGAATCGTCGGCTAACGCTCTACACGAGCCTATAGGTGATAAATCA